CCCCGCTCGGGCTAAGACGCCGCCTTGCCGCCGGGCGGAGCAGCGTCTCCGCCTCCACTGGCGGGGACAAGCCGCAGCGACAGCGACAGCGCACAGCCGCCCGCGGGCCGGAGCCGCGATGTTCCCCCGGGAGGCGAAGTGGAACATCTCGTTCGCGGGCTGCGGCTTCCTCGGCGTCTACCACATCGGCGTGGCCTCCTGCCTCCGCGAGCACGCGCCCTTCCTGGTGGCCAACGCCACGCACATCTATGGCGCCTCTGCCGGCGCCCTGACGGCCACGGCGCTGGTCACCGGAGCCTGCCTGGGTGAGGGGCCGGGCCGGGGCTGGGGCCAGGGCGGGCCCGGTGCGCTGTGCTCCGAGGGTGCCCGCCGGGTGAAGGCTGGGGCGGGCAGGTGCCGCCGCCCTGATGGAAAGAGAAAGTGGCCAGGGGCGGGACCAGAGGTGAGGAGGGGCCGAGTCGCCCCGTCCTCTTGGGCAGCGTTCAGCGCAGCCTGGGACTTTGGAGTTCCAGGCTGCCTTGGCCAGAGTCCCTAAGCGAGGGTGGCCTCAAGGAGCGTCTGGGCCAGTAGTCTGGTCCCTCCTGAGGGCGCTGGAGGAAGAGCCCACCCAGGGTCAGGGCTGGATGTGGGCAGCAGCTCACTGCGCTCTCCCGGCCCAGTGCCCTCTGGCCTGGCTCCCCAGCTGCGGCCAGCCTTCATGCCCATCTCGCATGGACAGGAGTGCCAGGGACCAAGCGCTCTGGGCTGGGCCTCTGTCACACATTCAGGCATCCTGCCACGTGTGCGGTGTTTACAGCACACAGCGTCCTCACAAGTCCTGGGAACTGCTGCCCAACCCCCAGCCCACTAGGTCAGCCAAGGTGACAGGGTGCCCTGTCCAGCGGGAGTCTGTCCAGGGTTCTCCCCTGCCGCCTTTCTGTGACCTCTGGCCTCAAGAGGGGAGGAGATGGGGCACAGCTAGTTCTCAGGGCATAGTAGTTCTCAGGGACCCAGGGCTCACTTCTGTGTTCCCCCATGGAGGTCTTCAGACTGGTGAGTGCAATCTACCCGTTGGCCTTAGGACACCCTATGGGACTGGGCCATTCCCACAGAGCTGCTACCCCTACCAGCAAGCTGCCTCCCAGTAGGCTTGGGCCTCCAGAGCCCCTGTGGTGTGGAGGGAGGGGCCCGGGAGGACATGGCCCTCAGTTTTTCCTCAAAGGTCCTCCTCTCCCTCGCCACTCTGGCATTGCCTGGTCAGCACCCGTGAGCCTCCGAGAGAGTGCTGGAGTGCCTGCCCTTGTCACAGAGGGCCAGTTTTGTCTTCTCAGAATATGGGCCCACTCCTTTCAGCCTGCTGTCCTTGGGCCTGTGGCCCTGAGCTGGCTGGTCTTCGTGTGCCTGGCCCCCTACTGGATCTGGCCAAGTGGGTAAAGGCTGAGCCTGGTCAGAGTTGAGTCTCTGCCTTCTCCCCTCTCCTGGGCTGTGTGCCATGCCAGGCCCAGTGACTCACGGGGACAGGCAGCTGGAAAATACCAGGCAGAGGGCAAGTCTCAGTCCCAGCCGGCCAGCCCTTGTGGTCTGCCATCCCCATGGTGGTGGCCTGCCTCACTGTACCTAGGGACAGATGTTGAAAGTCCCAACTGTGAACCCGGCCCTGTGGTGGAAGCCTTCAGGGTCAGTGGAGACGCCGCAGATATTTACACTTTGGGACCCTGGGCATGAAGCCGTAGCGTGGAGGTGCTAAGCCCAGCAGTGCTGGCCCCTGACTGCGGCCTGCTGCACTAGGTGAGGCAGGTGCCAACATCATCGAGGTATCCAAGGAGGCCCGGAAGAGGTTCCTAGGCCCCCTGCACCCTTCCTTCAACCTGGTGAAGACCATCCGGGGCTGCCTGCTGAAGACTCTGCCCGATGATTGCTATGAGCGTGCCAGTGGGCGGCTGGGCATCTCCCTGACCCGGGTGTCGGATGGTGAGAATGTCATCATCTCCCACTTCAACTCCAAGGATGAGCTCATCCAGGTGGGCTTGGTGGACCACAGTGGGGGCACAGGATGACCCCAAGGCCCTGCTCACCTGTCCCTCTGTCCTGCCCTGTAGGCCAATGTCTGTAGCACCTTCATCCCTGTGTACTGTGGGCTCATCCCTCCCTCCCTCCAAGGGGTGGTGAGTATCCCTACCCCACCCTGCCCCAGCGCCTTCTGAGGGTGGTGGAGTCAGCTGCTGTCTGGCTGGGACCTGGGATGTACGGAGGCCTGGGCCTTGCCCTGCCCCCCTGCCTGTTGCCTCAAGCACTTCCTGTTACCCAAGAAGTGGGCAGGCAGGCGGGTGGCCCTGGGGAGATGTGTACTTCCTGTGGTAGCCCCCCCAGATGTCTGGCCATCTGCTCAATGCCCAGGCCGGCTGGTGGCCAGTGCCCAGTAGGTGAAAGGTCCAAACAAAACAGCCACCAGGTGGGGCAGCCAGCATACCCCTGTCCATGTGACCATGTCTGTGTGTCTGTGTGTCTCCACAAAGCGCTATGTGGACGGTGGCATTTCAGACAACCTGCCACTCTATGAGCTCAAGAACACCATCACTGTGTCTCCGTTCTCTGGGGAGAGTGACATCTGTCCTCAGGACAGCTCCACTAACATCCATGAACTTCGGGTCACCAACACCAGCATCCAGTTCAACCTGCGCAACCTCTACCGCCTCTCTAAGGCCCTCTTCCCGCCAGAGCCCATGGTGAGGTGCTGGCCTGGTCACCCTGTCTTCGCAGAGCACAGGGGAGGAAGGATCCAGGGTGGGCAGCGGCCCTATGGCCTCTTCAGAGCACTGGGCAGTGCTGTGGCCTGCACACCCTCTGCCGGCAGCATAACTGGTCTCTCCTGCTTGTACTTGTGCTGGGTCCAGGACAGCTTGGTGGTGGTCACAGGGTGGTAGCTGAGACAGGGTTGCAGGGACTCTAGGAGGCAGAGCAGGCCACACCTGGGTCCCTCTGCCACAGGTGCTTAGAGAAATGTGCAAGCAGGGCTACAGGGACGGCCTGCGCTTCTTGAGGCGGAACGGTATGTGTGGCGTGCCTGGGCCAGTGGGTGGCGGGTCTGCATGCCCACTGTGAGCCAGCTGGCTGGTTGTGGCCACTGAGAGCTCCTCATTTGTCACCTCACCCCTACCAGGCCTCCTGAACCGGCCCAACCCCCTGCTGGCGCTGCCCCCCACCCGGGGCCCCAAGGAGGAGGACACAGAAGGGGCCAGCGGGGGCATGGAGAGGACCAGTGCTGAGGAGCAGCTGCCTCCGCCCATTGAGGACCACATTCTGGAGCACCTTCCCACAAGACTCAATGAGGGTGTGCAGGGGAGGAAGCAAGGACAGGGATGTGGGGATGCAGGCGCTGAATGACCCTGGGCTCACCCCGCTTTCCAACTGGCCACAATCTCTTGCCTGCAGCCCTGCTGGAGGCCTGTGTGGAGCCCAGGGACTTGATGACCACACTGTCCAACATGCTGCCCGTGCGGCTGGCCACGGCCATGATGGTGCCCTACACCCTGCCACTGGAGAGTGCTGTGTCCTTCACCATCCGGTGCGAGGCAGAGGGGTTAGGGAGGAGGCACCAAGGACAGAGGGCTGGGGGGTCATCATGGGTGGTGGTCACCCCGCGAGCGCCCTGTGAGACCTGGCTGCAATGCTGGCCCGTGCCTCTCCCTAGCCTGCTGGAGTGGTTACCCGACGTGCCCGAGGACATCCGGTGGATGAAGGAGCAGACGGGCAGCATCTGCCAGTACCTGGTGATGCGCGCTAAGAGGAAGCTGGGCAGTCACCTGTCCTCCAGGTGAGCTGCCTCACTGCCACACGCCCAGGCCCAGAGCCTCAGGGCCCCACTGAAGCCCCTGTACCCTCCTTCCTGCAGGCTGTCCGAAACCACAGAGCTGCGCCGTGCTCGGTCACTCCCCTCTGTGCCCCTGTCTTGTGCCAGCTACCGGGAGGCGCTGCCCAGCTGGGTGCGCAGCAACCTCTCGTTGGGTGATGTGCTGGCCAAGTGGGAGGAGTGCCAGCGCCAGCTGCTGCTGGGTCTCTTCTGCACCAACGTGGTCTTTCCACCAGATGCCCTGCGCATGCGAGCACCCACAGACCACCCCACACCTGCGGACCCCTCCGCCATGGACCCCACACACCCCCAGCACCCGCCGGGCCTGCCCCCGTGCTGAGTGCCCTCCGCCTGCCTGGCTGGGCCCCAGAACCTCCCTGTCCAGGAGCTCAGCTGCACTGGCCGGACCCTACTGCTGGCCTCTCCGGTTACCAGTGTGAAGTGAGGACTGGGACCCTTCACGCTGCAAAGAGGGGGTTCTCACATGCACCCACTAACCACTCACTTGCTGCCCTGGGTGCAGAACTCTAGTGTTTGTGCCTTAGCCTCCTCCCCTGCCTGCCCCGCCCAGCATAGGTTCCTCTTGAGAACCTCACACCTGCACCGCCTTCGTTTTTCTTGTTTTGCTGAATGATATGTGTGAAGAATTATTTATTTTCGCCAAGGTATATGTAATAAAATGCCACAGCTCAACTTTTGTCTCTTTTACTTTTTTTTTTTTTGCAGTACTAGGGGTTGAACCCAGGGCCTTTGCGCTGAGCTACGTCTCTAGCCCTTTTTTTCCTTCTTTTGATCAGGGTCTTGCTAAGTCCCTACATTACTTGGGCTTAAACTTGTGATTCTCCTGCCTCAGCCTCCCAAAGTGCTGGGATGGCAGGTATGCAGTGCTCAGCTTGCCTTCTTCACGCCAGTGTGACTGCCCCACCTTGCTTGGGGACTTGGTGTTAAGAGACTGCTCCTACCAGCTGGCAAGTGTCTCTGCAGCTGCCTGTCAGGTCTGCCAGGGTTGATGCTGGGCCTGGCATCTCTGCCAGCTGGGTGGGGTCCTCCTCCCCTGTGCCTTCTGCTTCCCAAGGACTCATCTGTTTGCCCCTACTCTGCCCTCAGGCTGTCTGGCTGACTCTTGGGCACAACTTTCCAAGGGCCAATAGAAATATTTGGGAAAAAGAACTACTGTTTACAAAAGGTGTCACCACACCTCCTCACCACACAGTGACACAGTGGGCGTGGGCTTACTCCAGGGCTGGACACTGGAGGGGCCTCCTGGAGTGAGGGCTGGGGACTTGGGAGTGTCTGTGCCACGCCACCATGGCCAGCACACAAAGTTCTATGCTTGCTCTTCTTCCCGGTGTCCCAGACTGCAGCATGCAGGGCCTAGGCCTTCCTGTCCCCATGCGCCTGGCAGTATCTGCTGCCAGTACCTCTGAGTGCTGAGGAGGGGTGCTAGCCAAGGGCAGTGCACCTGTCCCAGGAGTTTCCCGGTATCCATTGCCAGGAGGCAGTCAGAGCGGTAAGGACCCTTGGGTGATGGGTACTGGTGCCCAGCCACAGGCTCAGCCCCCGCCTGCCCCTCCCGGAAGGTGTGGGTGCTGTGGTGGCAGCCCCCAGCCAACAATAACGGTTGTAGGAGCTGGGGCAAGGGACTGGACAAGCCGGCCAGGCAGGTCCTGGCCCTGGTGCAGTTCCTGTCTCCAGGTCCTGTCCTATAGGCCCAGTCTGCTGTGGTTCCGCCTGAGAAGCAGAGGCAACACGGCTCCCAGGGCTGGTGCAGGCTGGAAGCACAGCCCAGGGTCCAGGTGGGTTTGGGTGCAGGCTGGGTGGGAGAGGGGACCCCTGGAAGTGGGCGGGATCCCCACCGTAGCAGGAGGGCACGCAGCTGTGTCCCCAAATGGAGTGCTGGGGGCCCGCAGGGTGACCTCCCTGGGCTCACTCACTCCCATCATTCAACGGCTTAGTGTTGCTAATTTAAAGGCCACTTCCTAGTATAAGATTTTATTATTTACAAAGTGGAAAAAACAAACAAAATTGGAAGTGTAGAGAATAAAACCTCCCAGCTTTAGACAGTCACTGAAGGCATCTGGTCTATTTCCTGATAGCTTTTTCCTGTACACATTTTGGCGACAACTGTAGCCTGGAGAATGGGGTGTGTGTGTGTGTGTGTGGGGGGGTGGTGGCTGGTGTTCCCAATCAGCGGCTACAATCCTAGGGCATAGGGTCCCTGGTGCCCAGGAGGTGGGGTCCGTTGCTGCCCCGGAGGCTCAGCTGGGACAGCCACTCGAGCTGCCAGAGAGGCGGGGATACGGTGACAGCAGAGTGTGGCTCCGCCCGCTGCCGGGGCCCACCAGGGTCCTGGCCTGCAAGGTGGCCAGGCAGACAGCACGGGGTTTGGTGGGGCGTGGCAGGAGTGCTTCCGGGAGCAACACAGGTGCGGAGGCGCAGCTGGCAGGTAGGGGCTCTCGCGCTGGTCCCAGCTGGGCTGATCGCGCTCCTCAGCCCAGGACAAGGCGGCCGAGGTGTGAGGAGTCCACGGCCCGCCCTCCTCCCGCCCCAGGCTCTGCTGCTGCACGGCTTCCGGCACTGGTGGACCTGAGTCTAGGGAGCCTGAGGGCCGCCAGCCAGCTCCTGCCTGTCCCTTCCTCTTGCCTGCCGCTGCCCAGGATCTGCTCTCTCCAGAGATCGCCCTTCCTGAGTCTTAGGTGGGGTGGTGTGGCTGGCTGGGTGTAGCTGTGGGAGACAATCCAGGGTTGGAAGTCAGAGGGCAGGTGCCTCTGACTGTGGGTGGGGTTCCTTTGAGGGTGTGGAAGGAGCCACAGGAGGATCTGGGATAAGACCCAAGGGACGAGTCAGGGGAGGGAGTGTTAAGTCCAGAATCTAGGGGTGCTAATAAGAGCTGGAGGCACCCAACATCCGCCCTGAGGCTGGGATCTTGCACCTGCCCTGTGGGGCCTGGGAGCCGGGTGGGAGGAGCTCACCTCACCTGCCAGCTGTCAGGACGCCAGGGCATCGCAGGCCTGGCCAAGGGAGAAAGACCTGACCAGGACTGGCCCAATCCTTCCTGGTCAGGCCCAGCTTGGGACCCTCACTCCAGGATGTGGTAGGGCCTCTTTCACCCCAAGGCCTCTCTTGCTGCCAGGCACCAGTCTGCCCTCCTCACCAGGGCTCCCACAACCAGCCCTGGAGATTGACACCCCCCTGCCCTTGTCCTACACTGGTTCATCCTGAGCTGCAGGTGTTCTCCAGCCCACTGGTCCCCAAGTCTGTGTCACCTGACCAGACCTGGGGTCCCCCAACCCTGCAGCAGTCCCACCCACACCTCTGTCACACCTTCCTGGTGGGAGCAGGAGGTCCTGAGCTGCACTTGCACCCCACTCTGCCCTGCCCTCCCTTGGCTCCACAGCCCCATGGCCAGCCCTGGGGAGCCCGGGGCTGTGGAGGCCCAGGAGGAGGAGGAGGGGGCCTCTGCAGGGCATGGTCCAGGTCCAGCGGTGCTGCAGCAAGCCCAGGAGCTCTTCCTGCTGTGCGACAAGGAGGCCAAGGGCTTCATCACCCGGCAGGACCTACAGGTGAGACCCGGTCTGCAGAGCCAGCTGCCAGGGCTGACTGGGCCGCTCACCCTGCCCTCCGCCTGGCCAGGGCCTGCAGAGTGATCTGCGCCTGACGCCGGAGCAGCTGGAGGCGGTATTTGAGAGCCTGGACCAGGCCCATGCCGGCTTCCTCACCGCCCGGGAGTTCTGTCTGGGCCTGGGTGAGCTGGGCCTCCTCCTCCTCACTTCTGCCCCATGTGTGGCCTGACCTTCTTGTCCCCCATTCGTACCCCTGCCAGACCCCAGTGGGGTGGGACCTGGCTGTCACCTCCCATTTCCAGGCCAATAGGACCAGAAGAAGGAACAAAAACAGGAAACCTGGCCTGGGAGAGGGCAGGATATGGGGGGTGGGGTGGTGGAAGGCCAGGGTGGCAAAGCGGTTCCTAATCTGTCCCGTGCCCGCAGGGAGGCTTGTGGGGCTGCAACCGGCAAAGAGTGTGACTCCCTCGTGGACTCCCGAGGAAACCTTCGAGTCGTGGGAGGTGCAGGGCTCCCGGGGCTCCCTGGAGGAAGAAGAGGAAGACGAGGAGGATGTGGAGCGGTTCTGCGCTGCGCTGGAGCAGCTGGGGGTGGCCCGGGTCCTGGGCGAGTGAGTGGCGAGGCAGCGGCCCGCCTGCTTCTGCTTCCTGTGGGTCTGAATGCGGCCTGGGGCCCACGCGCGTTCCCAGGCCCAGCCATCCGTGGCTGTCTGCCAGGGAGCGACCGGGCGTGATTTCCTGCAGAATTTGCGACTCTGGCCCTGGGTGGGGCGGGGCGCGCACGGGGTCGTACGTAGGTCTGGGAGGGAATGGCGCCCAGCAGAGTGAGCCGGGCTGTCCTGGACAGTGTTGTCCTCAGTGTGCGGGCCTCACAGTGTTGTCCCCTGCAGGCAGCGCGCCGTGAGGTCGCTGTGGGCCCGGCTGCAGCTCGAGCGGCCCGAGCTGCTGGGCTCCTTCGAGGACGTCTTGCTGCGCGCGTCCGCCTGTCTGGATGCGGCAGTCCGGGAGCGCGACGGCCTGGAGCAGGCGCTGCGGCGGTGAGGGCGGTAGGGTCAGCGGCGGCGGCGGCGGCGGGGTCTGCGGCAGCGGCGGGTGCTCACGGCTGTCGCTCGATTCCCAAGGCGGGAGAGCGAGCACGAGCGGGAGGTACGCGGCCTCTACGAAGAGCTGGAACAGAAGCTGCAGGAGCATCGGCCGTGCGGGCGGAGCCAGGTGGGCCCCCCTGCCTGGCCCACCGGGAGTCCCGCCCTTTCCGAGCCCTTCGCCCCGTGCCCCGCAGTCTCCTCAGGGGCGCCGAGGCTCAGGTGCCTCGTGCGCCCCAGAATTCGCCCCGTGAGGAGCGGAGGGGCCACCTGGAGCTGGAGCTGCAGAGCCGCGAGCAGGAGCTGGAGCGCGCGGGGCTGCGGCAGCGAGAGGTGAGGCGCCCTGTCGGCCCAGCTCCCCCGGCCTCGCGAACTGCCGGGCTGGCGCGGGTCCGGCGCTCTTGCCAGCATGCTCGCTGTTTCCGCAGCTGGAGCAGCAGCTGCGGGCCCGGACCGCCGAGCAGCAGGAGGCACAAGCCCAGCACGCACAGCTGCGGGGCGTCTTGGAGGCGCTGCGCGCGCAGCTGGAGGGGGCGCAGGAGCAGCTCCGCAGACTGGAGGGCGAGGCGCAGGGCCGCCGGGAGCAGACGCAAAGGTGCGCGGGCCGCTCCCCGCCCAGCCCAGCCCAGCCCAGCCCAGCCCAGCTCCGCGTTTGTGCTCCGCACTCGTCACATCCCCATCCACAGGGACGTGGTCGCCGTCTCCAGGAACATGCAGAAGGAGAAGCTCAGCCTCCTGCGTCAGCTGGAGCTGCTCAGGTGCGCTCAGGCCCAGCCCGGCGGGGCTCCCGCGTGCTCTCGGCCTCCACCCCATTCGGCCAGGAGGAAGGCCTTCCTGTGTCTGCCCGCTTATGGCCGGAGGGAGCGGGGCCCACCTACCCGCATCCTCGCTCGCCCCCTCCGAGCTCAGCTGCGCGCCCTCCTCAGGGAGCTGAACACACGACTGCGGGACGAGAGGGACTCCTGTGAGGCCAGGCTGCTGGGAAGCAGCCACAGGAAGCCACTGGACGCCGCGGGCCTGCCCAGACCAGCCTGCTGCTGTTGCTGGGCTCAGCCCCCTAGACGCGGTTCCGGCCACCTGCCCAGTGCCCGGTGACCAGCCCGCCTGGGCCCCCGCAGGAGCTGGTCCTCGAAGGCCACCTGTCCTGGGTGCGCGCTGCCCACCCAACACCCGCCCCCCGGGCTGACCTGTGGGTGGTCAGTGCCGCAGGGCCTCGCGTGCCCCTGCTATTCTGCACTCTGTCCCGCAAAAGAAAAACAACTGTGCACGACCCAATAAAGCGCGCCCTGCCGCAGTCCCTTGGCCCTCTGTGTGTCTGGGACCTTCTGTGGTGTGTGGGCTGTGATCCCTGTGCGAGTCCTCTTTGTGTCTCTGGTCTTGCACCACCCCCTCATCATCCGCCAGAGTTCTTCGGGCCGGGTCCAGCAGAGGTCCCGAGTCACCAGGGAGTACGGGGCAGTGACAGTCAATCAGCTACCGAGTCCGCTCCGGCCGCAGGCAGGGCCTGACCTTTACCCTCACCCCTGGCCCCACGCCGACGCCTCACGGCCTCCAGACTAGGGACCTCTGCGGAGACCGCACCCCCCCAGGCGTCCACCCAACACCCAGAGCAGCGCAAGGGCCCGCGGCGCTATCACCGCCCCGCTCTCGTCCGCTGACCCCTGCCGCCTCGCGGAGGTTCCTGGGATTGGCCTCTGGCTGCCCTCCCCGGGCACTGCCTCCTGTCTCGCGACAGCGCTCGCTGGGTGGTGGGCACCAGCAGGCCTCAGTTTCCCTGCGGCAGAGCCTCGTGCCGCTCCGCCGGCGCCCGACTGCGCCCGCGCGGGTCCGAACCTGCCCCGCGCC